ATCCCAGGACCCTGAGATCATGACCTGAGCCGAAGGCAAATGCTTAACCAACTGAGCCACCCAGGTGCCCTCCTTTTTAAAAAAGATTTTATTTTAGGATTGACAACCACGTTGATTAAAGTCATAAAGACAACAACTAAAAGAATGAAAAACAAATTGCTAATACTGATTGCTCTGGGAAATGGAACAAGGAACTTCTTAATTATTTTAATTATTTTTATGTGGAAAACACAGGAAGAAGGAAGAGAAGGAATCTAACTTGGGACCAGAATAGGATTTCTCAACCTTGGCACCAATGACGTTTGAGGCCAGAGGATTCTTTGTTGTGGGACATTGTCCTGTGTCCTGCAGGATGTTTAGCAGCTTCTGAGACCCATTAAATGCCAATAGCACCCTTCCCAGTCATGACAACCAAAAAATAGCTTCAGACACTGCCAAATGTCCCCTGCAGGGCAAAATTACTCTGAGTTGAGAAGCACCAGACTAGAAGAATAATACTGTGTATTAGTCAAGCAGTTGCTTTAAGTGCAAAGAAAGCTCGAAGATTTGGACTGACATTATTGTACACCATGTAAATTAAAGTGCATTTATTCACTGCTAGGTCCTTAATTAGAAGTAAATGTACACATTTTAATTAGAGCATCAGAAGGAAATGCATCAGGCTTTTCCTTATGGACACTCCAGGCTTCAGGATTTATGTTCATTATTAGAATAACAAAATGTTGGAGCAATTAGGCCTTTATAAAAAAAAGGTTGCAGGACTTCCTGGCAAGTAGCCAGGATCTTGCCACTTTCTTTTAAACTTGAGAAAACACTTTTCTCATACCGAATAAAACAGGGGAGACCCAGCCAAACATAACCCTGGGCTGCAGGCCCAAATTAATTTCAGTTCAGCAAATATTTAAGCATCTATTACATGTGCTGGGGATAACATCAGTAAAACAAAGACTCGATTTCTTAAATGTTATATAAATAGTTACAGTAGAAATACATTTTTAAAGAGAAGGTTTTGCTTTCTGTACTTTACAGGATTATATGGAAATCCAGTGTCCTGCATTGTCCAAACCTGCACCATCCAAAGGGTAGCCTCAAGACACATGAAGCTCTTAAGCCCTTGGAAAATGGATGGTCTGAATTAAGATGTGCTGTAAATGGAAAACTTGCACTGGATTTCAAAGATGTGGTATGAAAAAAGTAATTAAAATACCTTATTACATTTTCAAATTATATTTTGAAATGATAATATTTGGGATATATTGGTTTAAATAAAATATATTATTAAAATGAATTCCATCTATTTTTTTTTTAATGTGGCTACCAGAAAAATTTTAAATCATACACGTGGCTTACATTTTATTTGTTATAGACAGTGCTCTCCTAAACTCTTTTTTTTTTTTTAAAGATTTTATTTATTTATTTGAGAGAGAGAGAATGAGAGACAGAGAGCATGAGAGGGAGGAGGGTCAGAGGGAGAAGCAGACTC